AGGAGGATGTAGATGAGCAAGTACGACGCGACATGCGTGAGGCGGGGGTTGGTTATAAGGAGGGGCAACCTTCTAGGCGGCGCTGTAGAACTTGTGGAAAAGCTGGTCATAACGCGCGAACTTGTCAAGAAGTTATAGATATATCTAGTTCGTCAGATATAGAGAGCGATAATTAATTTAATATATTGTGGTTGATTTATTTAGGTGTAAAGTTCTGTGCCAAGAAAAAGTGATCGACTCGCTGATATGATCGACTCGCTGATAAACCACGTTACATGTTTTCTTTTGTGATAATCTCATTGGGGTACAAAAAGCATTTCCTGCTAACAAAAAGAGCAACAAAGGCCGTACAGAAACGGCCAAAAACTTGATTAGTTTTTAATAATGTACATTGTGCGATAAGGTGTCTGGTTTCTTCATGAAGAAATAAATATGTACTTGAGGAATGGTGGCTCAGTTGGTTCGAAAACATTTGTATTATTAAAAGAGAGAGTCTTTTCAATTCTTTCCGTTACAGATAATCGCTACTCAGCTAGCGTGCTTGGCTAGGAACTGTTGGTATAGAGATATCTAGGATATCAAAGCGAAGAAATATGAAGTACTAATAATAATCGATTGCTGTCTGATGCTAAAAGAGCGGGACCGATCGAGTACTTAGGGTACTTGAATAAGTGGGTCTAATCATTTGATATGGACAAAAGGACGTTGTATATGCCGCAAAAGGAACAAAGAAAGATTATGCTGAAAGTACAAAAGTGAGGATTGGTTTAGCAACAAAGACCTTTTCCGATAAAGCCAGACAATAATTTTCTTCTCATAATTCTCTAGTAATGCTGCCTCTGATTTGCTAGCGGCCACTTACAGTAACTTCCAAATTATTTCTATCTTGTAAGTTATAGAGCTAAATGTTTAAAAATCACAGTATTTCGAGGCTACGTGTATGCTAACAAATAATATTGGTATTTTCTGATCTATCTCAGGAGTAGCCATAATCAATTGAAACATTCATCAAGAGAATCCGATATACCTTTTCTCGATATAAAGTGGGGCTGAATTTGGGTTCTATTCGAATTACTTGTGCCAAAACATTAAAACCAGGGTCTCTAGTATACTGATCTAGTTTGTAGGAATAAAATAACTTTCAATTAACCGTTTTGCAAAATTAACTCTATGCTACAGACTGAACTAGTGCTTTATAACTGGGGGATTGCCGTTGGTGAGGCCGGAGCTAGACTCCATATACATAATAAATTTGCAGTAAAACCTATCTGATTGCATGAGATCTGGCAACTTCTGTCTGTACGCATCTCTGCCTTGATTTCTCAATGTCAACCTTTTTTTTCTTTTGAGAAATCTCTGGTAGTTAATCTCTCTCTTTTGTCGTATTTACCATATTGTGCTCTACGTTATGAGGCATGCTACAGTAAGATATGCCATAGGGGATCCTGGTAGGATCGACGATCAGATAGAATATTAGTAGTTGCACAAAGTCTGGAGGTGATAAAAGTATAATAAAGACATCTGGAAGGTTGGTAGGATATGTCTTAGCCCTCTAGGAACCGTGTCAGGAGATACCTAACACCGCGCAGGACGGCCCAGGGTACAAAACCTTCTCTAACGCGTACTTTTCCTAACACCAACGGTGACCGTTAAACCTTAAATAATACTAAAGATACAGTTCTATCTTTACTTATTTACGCCTTTACTTGTTTACTTGTTTATAGGCAGGGAAGGGAGAGAGAGGGGGGAGGGGGTATAATAGAAGTAGAGACTTACAGGACAGGATAGTAGGAAAGTACCTAGAGGTAGGGAGAGAGAGGAAAGAAGAGGTAAAAACGACTAAGTACTTATAGGTAAGGAGAGGGATAGGTGAAAACGACTAAGTACTTATAGGTGATTTACAGAGGTAGAGGGAGGGGGAGGCTCTATAATATAGATAGATAGCTTACGGAAAGCTCGGGTTACGCTTAAACTCTCTTAAAAGCTAATTGTAGGCTATTGTCGGTTTCTAAAAGTATAATATTTTCTAGAGTACCCTCTATCCCTAGGATCCTATTTTTTGTACTTAATTTAGTCGGGAGCAGGTATTTCCTGATAACGTCCCTACTTTTTAATACCTAATTAGGACGGTATTAGGAGTTTCCTGACGGTGTTAGACAATACCTAACACCGAGTTACCAGAGGGCAGATGTCATAAATAGATGGGTGAAACGTTAAGAGGAACACCCGTCACACATGGAACCACCTCAACTGGACGAAGAGATAGCATATCGAAATATCGATGGCGAGTTGACTATTCTAACCAAGATTCATTCAATATGCTACATGATTGTCACTTTTCCTCAATCTTACAGCTCTCAGCCTCAACTAACGTATACACCAAACTGCCAGCCGCGATCAGAACTACCTCTAAAATCCATGGTTTCCCATCAACTCACGATCCATTCGAAGTGCAGGTTGGATGATGAAAGGCATATAATGTGTGTCAGTCCTAGCATATATGGCATACAAAGGCTCAGACAATTGCCACGCAAGCTGTAAGCGCTTTTGTTGAACACCCGGCCGACATTTGTGGGGTACAGGAAGGGACTAGGGAAATCTCCTCAATCGTTCCACTATGGTAAATGGGCTCCCAGGAAAGGAACCGCAGGTTCAAAAATCCGTATTTTGCAAGGAGTATTCTCTGACCCCTTCAGCAACTTGAGTGGCAGTCTCAGGATACTTAGTCGATATACCAGTCTATGACCCAACCGTATTCGAAAATACTCTACAGTACATGCTTGCCAAAGGTCCGCTTAACGGTACCAATAGAAATTCCTTACACACCTGCTCTTTTAGCAACCTTCTGTTACTACCCACAATTTACCACAATTTTCAGCAAAAAAGTCGCCCAGCTAAGGATCAAATCCAAGTGTAGTTGGGAGCCCACCTGTTTTTTTTGATGTTGGCCCTGCGCCATAAATTCCTTTGAACTCCTCTTCGTCTAGAAAGTACTCGGTTTCGTTTTAGTCTTGTTCGAATTGCACTCTTTGACTATCACGAAGTGGATGTGTGTAGAAAGTGCTACGGGGGTGCCCTATATTATATAAGTGAATCTATACTCCCGCCTAATTATTTTCTCTGCTCCTTCTTTTTTACGTTTATCCACGCTTTCTGATTGGTCAGGTCACCTTTTTTACCCTTAGTTTTCCATGCTAGTTTCTTAAAAGTACCTACTAAATAGGCGTAGATCATTAGGGGAGTCTCGCTATAGGGCGAACGCTGGACTTTTTGGATAACGGGAAGCTACGATATCTCTAGATTTGACAGACCAGTGCATAAAATCTACAACTCCTACTGGCGTAAGGCCCTGTTGCTTCCATCCACACACATCCACTTTGTAGTGGTCAGAGATTGCAATTCGAATAAGACTAAAACGAAAACAAGTAAAAGCCACCTCAATTTTCTAGCCATATGCTACCGGCGTGAGGTTGTATCGGAAAATGTACTGGACCTAAATTGGCATGTCCTCCGCGTTCATCCTGGCAATTACTACCCCACCTCCGCATCACTGTACTTGGCCAGATCGTTACTTTGGCGTTCTGATAAATTTGATCGTAAAAAGACTGCCGCCCTTGCGGAAAATCACGAGTTTGTAGAACGGGTGTCTATCCGAAGCCCTGAAGTAAGGTTACATCTTGAGTAGCCAATAATTGTCTATCGAAAGCTAAATCCACATACTTATACGTCCATTCTGCACGAACCCCTTCAAGATCACTATTTGAGAAGACATAAGTACGTAATTCTCATACAGTCAGCCCCTCTGCCATAAACAAAACGATGGAGATATAAAGGAAGTGTGAGACCTCGGAACACATTCACAAGCTGACAACTTTTCCAAATGATAAAATTGTTGAATAAACATACATCCGCAACATAGTGTGGATAATATCACGTGAAGCAGAAATTGCTTGATCAGACTGCGCGAGGATTTCATGATCATATACTATGCAGATCTACGCTGCTAATTGAGGTGTCGAGAAGTGAATGGTGTCTTCACACGTGAGTAGTAATTCATTCTTCACCCAGTTTTCAGTGTCAAGATAGATCCCCATCCAAAGAAAAAAACTTACTTAAACGTAGTCAAGTTTGGCATCGCAAATGGACCGAAGACACGGGGATAACAGGTAGCGCAGGCGGTGGTCTGCTTTTCAATGACGAAGTATCGTACGATTAGGCACGTCAACTGTGTTATGTCCACTGACCTTTCATGCACTTATTTGAATTTGAGTAGAGAGGGTGGACAGCTCAAGTCGCATCCTACAAGTTAATACTATGTCTCGCCTCCGACTTTTAGCGAGACCAATAACTTATACCGGTTGAAGAAATAGGAGATCGGCGGAACTTGGTCGCTCGCTTTTTATATATAACATAAAAGAGACTATAGGATTCAATACCGACAAAAATACTTCAAACAATGACTTGATTTTAGGCGTTGTATAGCTTTATCACATATGATCTGCGTAACAGGCGGCAGCTTTAACTTCCCACCCTCTTTACATGGGTATGAAATCGTGCTCAAGCTCCAACCAGTCTTCGGCAATCACCGTCTGATTGAGGATCCAACGCTCTCACTTTGCTTATCGTGGAGTCAGTGGATGTTTGATCTTACATGAAGTTATTTGGAATCACATCGATTCCCCTTTCATAATGGACGGAACGAGTAAGGTGAATACGAATGAAAAAGCGGATTGAACCGGGTAAATCACATTACTGCTACGGAGATCTTGGGATGCTCAATTGCTTAGATTGTGGATTTTTACAAAGGAGGGCCATGAGGGCAAAAAGCTCTTTGTAAGAGCTGCACACGCCATTGAAACTCGACACGCAGGCACAAGGTGTCCGACCCCTAGAATCTACATCAAAATGCCCCTAGAGGTGCCCTTGCTACTCTTTTTGAAGCTCCTTTTATGGTAAGCCAGAACTCGGATTACGTTGAAAAGGGAAGTAAAAGTGGATATTATGGAGCTTTAAGTATCGAGTCGGGGCCTTTTTATGGCTCTTGCGTCATTTTTACCCTGGAAATCAAGTCTTTTTATCTATTCTCTGACCATCTTGGGCCATCGAGGTACAAGCTGCACCCACAAAGCTTTGACGCCATTTGGTAGCAAGCACCACAAGCACCACAAACAACCCGAGTAAACATGGTAATCCCCACTACTGTGAATCTACGGATTAATCCGAGAAAAGCCCTAAAGACGTTCCGGGCCGGGACACCTCACTTAAGCTTGGCAGATGATACTTGAAGCACAACACAGAACTCAAGATATATGGAGTACGGAGTATGTAAAGCAAAACTGTTAGAAGCCCTCTACAAGATCGAATCTTCGCACGAACTAGCCGTCTCGTCCTACTCCATACTTTGAAGATAACCCGCAATCCGCATGCCATCGGTTCCCCCGATCTTGTTTCTCATGCTACTATTCACATCCCCATTGAACTACTTGAAGCTCGTTCTCCCATGCTATGTATCGTCTGTATCCACAAAACCTGTTTCCACTTTTCTTCCCACTCAACTAAGCTTCGTTTATCCCCCGACAGCCGACGCGAAACGTGCGCTCAAGGTGGATATTTTGTTGCGGAATCTGTACCGAATTCGGATTCCGGTGGTATACAGCCAAAACTGGAGACGGAGGCTATTATCAAGGATCCCCATAGGTTGTCTCCGCTCCGTAGAAATGCCTCAGAAGGAGTAGTTCGTGCTCCACAGAATTCTAATTATCTCTGTTTAGGCAGGAAGTAGACTCCGCATTGTTGAGCCGTGGGCCTTGAGACCCGAACTAAGTCATTTACGAGATGCATTATGAAAGTCAACCTCGGTGTTTTGATGCTTCCTTGGTACTTCGTAGCGAACAAGTGTATTCCAAAGTTCGGGCGCGTTTTGAAATATTAGTGAGTTTTGGGAGGGAAGAATTGTATTCTATACATATCTCAACAGTTTAGGTAGAACAAGTTTCAGACTAAAACCTGCTGTATCGTAGCAATTTGAAAACTGAGCCCTCCTTAAACCACGTGGCTCGGCACTGAAAGTGGGCTATTCAGATATTGCCAAGCGATACAGATCTCAAAGACGCGTTTCAAGAACTTTAACAATGGGGTACAAAAAACCCAAAAATACAACTCAGGGCAATACGGAGCGTATCCCGTGCTTTTTCAAAATTGTAACTTTGTACAGAAAAATCTCATAAGCGTTAGTCATCTGGCATTCTGGGACTTGGATAACATCCATCAAGTATTTCTGTGCCACGCAAGCGAGACTGCAATTACAATAACACGAATTCCACGATGCCATTGATGGACAGCGTAGTTTGATAAGAAATACATAATTGCTGTAAGTGTTATTTAATATGGTAATTATATCATTATATCATCTATTTTCTAACAAAAAAAGCAAATAAAATTTCAAACAAATGAGCCTGGATCGTTCCTGCGGCTTCGGTCCTCATGCTCCATATCATGCTCAACATGTCTCTCCATCTGTATCTCCCTTGTGACCATAATCGTACCCAGTTCTTTCCTCGTCTCGTCCTCGCTTCTGACAATCGTGTCTTGAGAGCCTCCGTGGGATGAACGGTATGATTTTATTGGTGCCCCTGCCGAGACCTTAGAGAACAACCCAGAGTTAGGTACCGCAGGTATGGTATTTCGTTTGAAAGTATTGTGGGTTCCAGTGGTGTTACTCAATTCGTAATGTTGGCCTCTTGTGCGGGACCGGGAATTGGTTGTAAGACTGGCAAAAACTCTGGGAAAGATATATGCGATCACAGGACGGGCACTCTGAAGAGCTGCGCAAATAATCGCTACGTTAACCTCGATGGCAGACCACATAAATGCGTTTGCGTTATCGACTTGGGAGTTGTTAGCAAGGTACGTAAAGAGCGCGGAATGAGCTTACAGCTAACATCATTGCTGACCGACACAACGTGTAGGCTAGTAAGTCTCAGAATGCTAACTAAGACAACACTGCTGAAAGTTAGAATTTAGCCCAATCAATAGCACTTGCAGTTTACGTACAATCCACCAAGCATAAATACAACCGACAATAGCATTTTCTGCTTCAGAGGCATGTAAAGACCCCATAGAACTGGCAGTGGAATGGCCAAAAGAAACATGTCGAGAAAGATGTTGAAGGCAGCCTGGAACATGAAGAGAGGAGCCTTTGGAATGCATTTTCCCTGAATATCGACATCCCAGAAAGAGCGAACAGGAATGCAGGAAATGATGTTTGTAAGTATTAGTTGAACCCCAAAGAGGACAGTAAGCGCCATCGCTGCGCGAGAAGCATTTCTCGCATGTCCAGTGGTGAAGACCCGAAGATAGCCGATGCAGATGCTTATTTTGGCTAAAGTAATTCCAACGCAATACAGCAGAATTGATACCCAAAAGTACTACACCGAAAATTATCAGTTTTCAACGAAGCAGATAACTGGGCAGGGGTCCAACCTTTAGGAAGCGTTTTAATTTATCTTTGGGCAAATCGGCAATATGTTCACCCAGTCCGTGAGTAGCCTCTACACTCATATTAGTGCCTACACTTGAGAACAAATTTAGAGATACCTACCACCCCAAACAACATAGATCATTCCGAAGGTACAGCACTGGAGTGTTTGTCAGCACAGCATTCTTTAGATGTATCCCGACAAAGCATTCAACTTACCACGCTCAGTATTCCCACTACCTCCTCTCTCCTAGCGCTTTTCAAGAAGTAGAATTTGGAGATCAACCTCAGCGAGACTGCGAAAAGCGACAAAATAGCAAACACGATACACACAATCAGCACACGCCATGCCGATGCTGTGAATGTTGTGTCACCCATTTTCATAGCTCGCGATCAATCAATCACCCAATCTGCAGCGACAAGAACAAAAATAACCAAATTTCAAGAATAAGAAATCCATCTCAAGGAACACCATGGAGGATATATAAGGTCTACATGTACCTGTGAAATGAAAAACCCGATCTACAAATGCACCTGTTCCGTTGTCTCCATAACATAAGGTTTCCAACCCTGAAGGATATCTATCTTTTCATGGAGCAGAGAACGACGTTAAGGTTTCTCTGAGGTTCAGGTGGGATGAAAGATGCCCAATCGGAATGACAGACCACGATCGTACTGGGTCCAGCGGAGTAGCCAAGAAGGAGCTTTGTCACGTCCACCCTGAAATTATCGCCAGCTCAGATTCTCAGACTCAGAAAACGGTCCAAGGTATACCCTACAAGAATGGATTTGTGGGAAACTTGTGGGTAACCTGTGGGACAAAGCGGATCCGAGGGGAACTGTTTTAAGGGACTCTGTGCCGTTCATGGGTATGACCCCAGGTAATATGAAAACAGGGCATCTGCTGCACGTACGCCGTACCAAATTACACCAAACAACCGCAGCCTTGCCTTGTTATCCCGAAAGGTGGAGCACGATCCGGCGCCGGCACCGTTAAGTGAACGAAGTCGCCGATTTGCATCTTGATGTCTTACAATATCCGTACTTTCTAAAGGCTAATATATCGTTTACACTCATTGTATACAAAATCCGGGAAAGTCCCGGTACGAGCAGCTTACGTGCAAAGGGGAGCGATTGAAAAACCTGTATTAGTGGGAAACATGTAATTTGGTTGCAACAACTATGCCATTTAAGGAAGCGAAGGGCTCCCTAACTTGGAACGAACGATGGTACTCTAGTCGATAGTCATTACCCGTAACAGACATACTACCGGTTGGCAGAATGTCCTAATTAGGTTTGGTCTTGGTATTCTCATCAATCAAACTACGAAGTAGTAGAACACTACTGACAAAACCCTATTTACTAAGTTCTGTCAGCCGGTAGTGTGTTTGTTACGGAGCAAAGGATACATTGTTCTATAAGATACAGTCCCGGGCGGGTTGTTTCCCAAAAAGGATAAAGAGCGGGACGGTTCTACTAACACCCTCAGCCCTCTAAGACCCGCTAATTAGTAATAACTTCCAATTTAAAGAGTGTACTATAACTGAATTATCAGAGCTGGGATTCTAACGATTAGTCTAATTAACCTTTTTTTTTTTGGGAAACAACACGCCCGGGACTGTACAAGTGGTATGAGGTTGAGGTTGAAACCCACCATTATTGTCCTGCTCTTCCTCATGGGACCTTCTTCATTCGTAGTGACATCATTCACAAACTTGCTTTTATTCTTCCTCCGTGGATTTGATTTACCTTTAAGCTTTCGAAAACTTTGGCTCCACGCTCCCTCCCGAACGTCTAATGAAGCTTCTGGCAATTAAAGTGTACCCGCCCATCTTGCCACCCTAAGTTTGAAAAGATCTTCTCATGCATATGCGGAGTTGACGAAAAACGGTCGAAACCTATCGCAAAAGGTTGCAAGTAGTGGATTTCAGAGTGAGTACCGAGGGATAGCGTTTGAAATCGTTGAACTGCTTGCTTGGCTCAAAGGGAGAAAGGGATTTTGGCAGATGCACATCATGACTTTGGGTCCTTGAACAGCTCTTGTTTCTACTAATGTCCGAAAATACCCTGCTTATTTTAGGGAGTGGCGTGTTCATTATGTGGGAAACTCTATGTACATTGCTTGCCGAGCTCAATGCATCTTCCCCGCGGCTTCCGAGTCAGTGATAAATACAGATGATCGACACGCGGGTGTCGCCTCTGTACGGCGGTAAATCCAACTCTTGGGCCGTATACAGTCATATAGGTTCTACAAGTACTTTAGAATCTTTGCACAAGGAAAATAATACAGTGAACAGAGACTAATCGAAGTAGATTGTCTGAGCGGGAGTCGGTGTGAACCACAATCGAGTCTTTCATTGAAGGTAAGACATGTCAGAGCCTCAAAGTGGTGATCTAACAGGCGCTTGACTCGACTTCGTGACGGATCTGATCGAGATTTCACACATCCTGCTCCCAAGGATACGAGTACCGCCAGGTCAAGACGCAAGAGTGGGGTCCCCCAATGAGGGGTACGATGTACGTTGGTACTCGTGTTGAGCGGCACAGCATAGGCTTGACGTTGCACTTCCCAGAATAATAGCTAGATCTTAGACATCATTCTTATACTGTATTTACAAGCCATTCAAATATATCAAGGATACCGTGCGCTATCTCAGAGCAAAAAGTTTCATCCGAGACTAGTTCAGATTGCTATGTGTGGCATCCATATCCCGACAAAGTGACTTGGTTGAATTTTAATCCCCGACTTGTATGGAAATAACCAGGAGGGAAGGAGTGTATTCTCTTTGATGTTCCTACTGACTAAAAGCGAAGTTATCCCATAAGAACAGTTGGTGGAGTAGAAAGGAACCGCTGATAGCAAGAAATGCCAAAAAAGCGGCTAAGAGCTGTGGACAGTATTTTATGCTTATCTGCTTATCGCGTACCTCGTAGATTGTAGGAAGATGACGTGAAGCCTAGAATAGTCCGAGCGAGTGTTGATTATGCGAGCGGCTGGTTATTCTTCCGTGCGAGCGTGCCCAGAAACGGAAAACATAATAGCGGGCGGGAAGGGAAAAGTTGGGTGTTATACCGTTTACGGACCTGCCTAGCCGTGGCGGAAGGCTGTTAGCGAGCACTGCTAAGGCTAGGTACCTTTCGCCCAGCGGAATGTGGGGAGTCGATCATAGTTTGCGGCCTTTCCTTTCCTTTCCTGCTTCTTTACAAAACATGCCAGGAGTATGATCCTTGAGATATCATTTTAACACGAGTAGCTGTGAACACTAACTTCGTTGACTTCGTTTACTAAGGTGGTAAGGAGATAGGAAGCTTACGCTCTGATCGACCAAACACTTTAGACGAAAACATCTGACGAATTAAGGCCTTTTGATCACTCGCTTATAGTCTTCCGCCACGGTCAAGATTTATATTTGAAGAATGCACATCACTTTTCCCATCCGAGTCTCTTACCGAATACATAGTAGATCATGATTTATAGTGAGCATTATTATTACAGAAAACCCTCGAGTACTCGAGTACAAGGGTATAGTCGGGCCCGGATCTAACAAGGATATAAATAAGGATATCCTTATCTCCTAAACGTCGCATAGGTACATCTCGATTTTTGGGTTGTGTTTCTACTAGTTGGCCTCGGAGTAAGTTATATATAAATAAAATATTTATAAGTGAAATATATGAATCTTTCTAGTGAAACTTATAATTAACTAATCAGATATTTTTTTTCTTTTTAAATTAAGATTTCAAATTTTGGATTCCAGGGCTAACTAACTAATAGGTACTTGTTTCTAAAAAAAATTAATTCGGAATTTATTAATTCTTAAATTAGTCGATTATACTTGTCGGCTTCGGAGTATATAAGAATTAAGTCCTTATAGTGATATGTGCTTACTAAGACCTTTGTCGACCAATCAGAAGATTTAGCACTTTTGGATTAATTAATTTTTTTCGACTTTTTCACCTACCCGCTAAAGGGGTTGGCACCACTAAGCCGGCGGCACTATCAAGCCGGCCATCCTAATTTAAATAATTAATAACTAATAACCAACGGTCGGAATAATTTGATTTAAATTCTAATATTATTAGATAATTGAAAAGTAAGAGATTTATGATTAAATAGTATTTCTATTCGTTGGTTATTATAACACACCTATATAAGTGGTAAACCCTTAGTAGACGGTAGAGCCTATGTATATATCGTGATTAATTAGTATAGACCACCCCCCTAGCACCCTATTAAAATGTTAACCCACCACCTATATATCGACCTACCTCTATAATAACCTATAACATCGATTAATAGTGTTTGTTATATAAGTTTAGCTAATTATTACGAGTATTTATTTATTAAAATTATCCGCAAATAGTATATTATTATTTTAATATTAGTTTATAGGATTAAACCTAGGATCGCCAGCTTAGTGTCACGAATCACGTGCTCACGTAATACTTGTCATAATAAAGAGGCGCAACCCTCGACAGGCACATCCAGGTTTCTTATAGCAAATAGGGATGCTTAGACTAGCTAAGCGATCCAAGGATTTCTCGTGTATGTAGTCACGTGATCAATCGCATCGCCTGTATCGACAGTCGATGTTAGCGATAGGAGGTCGACTACATCGACAGGTGATGTAGGCGATGTAGAGAGAACGAAGGTCCAATATAAGACTGGCACGTCTGCCATTAGATAGGAGCTTCGTGCTCAACTTAGTTATCAATCTTATCATATTAGTTTGACATTCACGTGATCAATCGCATCGCCTGTATCGACAGTCGATGTTAGCGATAGGAGGTCGACTACATCGACAGGTGATGTAGGCGATGTAGAGAGAACGAAGGTCCAATATAAGACTGGCACGTCTGCCATTAGATAGGAGCTTCGTGCTCAACTTAGTTATCAATCTTATCATATTAGTTTGACATCTTTGATACAAGTAACGAGTTCACTTCCAAGTGAACAACCCGATAGTCTTCTTCTTATCATAGCATACCAACCAGCGAACACCCAGCCAATTTCAGTTAGCCAGTTTGAGTATTCGTTACACTTAGTAGTACTAACCCCTTTAGCGGGTAGGTGAAAAAGTCGAAAAAAGATATTTAATCTAAAACTCCTTAATTCTCTAATTAGTCGAAAAGTTATTAAATAATCACAATATAATATATTACTATAAAGACTTAATTATTATATACTCTAAAGCTAATAAGTAAATCTTACTATTAAATGAAAATATATTTTACTATAATAATTTAATTCTTATATACTTCGAGCTAACTAGTACTTTAACTCCTAGTACTTTATAATACTACTCCTTAAGTAATACGGAGTAAGTTAGACCAAACCTCTTAGCGCGCCTAGTTTTACTTTAATTAGTCCGACTACTTAAATAGGAAATCGTAAACTTTAAAATCCGGGTATATATATAACGTTTAGGAGATAGTAAGTTACTTAGTATAGGTAATAGTAAGTTTATATATTTAAGTATTAGGAATTTAAAGGGGGTAAATACATAAAATTAGATATTATTATAAGAAAAGTTTATATTACCTAGATTCGAGTCTCTAATTCGCTAGTTTAGCTAAAGGTCGAGGCCGAGCTATAATATAGTTAAGAATATTATCTAGCTTTAATAGTCTTACTGTAACCGTGTGGAGTGAACCACTGCTTGCTGTGATGAATACGGAGTCAAACGGAAACTGCTGTATTGAGCGAACAACAAAGTGAGGAAGGAAGAGAGTTCCAGAGGAACGAGAGCTTAAATACAGGATGCCAGCAGCGCGCACGTGACACATACTACATGCTGCGCTACACGTGATCAACCCCTAGTTCCTCCAACTCC